AGATGAGAAGGAGACAACAGGATTAGGAAGGAGAGAAAGAAGAGCCACCTTCCCCAATGTGGGAACTTCCAGATTGGTTAGGCCCTGCAAATTCCAGAACTTCCAGTATATCTAGAGGCTCTCAGGTTGGGGAGTGCGTGTGGCTGAAGTAAAGCTGAGTAAAGAAACAGAATCAAGACGGTGAAAGTTTCCTTGTGTAAAGAGGTCATAGAGAACAACGTGCAACTCTAGGTTCATGGGAAATCCATTCATTTGCCAACGCCTTTGAAGTGAATAGCTAGCAAATGCACTGCATGCATTTTGGGCGCCTGGTCATTTGTAGTTTTCAGACCTATTCTTCTTTGCAAATATCTGCATTGGCACATGAGAGGAGTGGGGAGGGGAGGGGAGGGGAGGGGGAGAGGGGAGGGTAGGAATGGAGAAAAGGGAAGGGGAGGGAAGGGAAGGGAAGGGAAGAGAAGAGAAGAGAAGAGAAGAGAAAACCATACACATTCCAGAAAAAGACTACAAGAAACTAAGCTGGAATTTGGCAACCGTTCATAGGATTTTGTTCTTTAACTTAATGAGCTATACATATGATCCTTTTTTTTTTCCAGAAATATGGGGATTAAGTGACTGGCATTGACCCAAAGGTGCAAAGTCCCATGGCTGTTTGCATGATATTGTACCATTTACTCTATATGTTCACCTCCTTTCTGACCTGGAGTATCTTCTCCCAAACTACAAGTGAGCTGAGACCACAAAACCCAGGTACCCTGCCTCTAGTAATAGAGGAACAACGATCACCCTTAAAAAGTTAAAGTCTTTTTCCTAGGCCATGAAAAATTTTCCCGCAGGGTTAATTACAGCAAGTTCTAGAGAGAAACAATAAGCAGTATTTGGGGGACTGGCTCTCTAAAACAAATAAACAAAAATTACTTATTTTGGCATTTAATTTCCCATGGCATTCTAGATATAAAGAGTAGCTACAAATAACCATATTCCTACAAGATGAAGTAAACATTCCTGAAATGTGATTAGGTGCTGGGCCTATATATTCCTAAGAATCCCAAGACAAAAAGAGACCCATAAATTCATTTCCAACCTGCTGACTTGTAGATATTTGAGACTTCAACTCTGAACTCCCAGCCTTCGTAACCAACTAAATTCTGACAGTTAGGACGTTAAAACCTTGAGTGGTAGAATATCATTTATAGCAGGGGTGAGCAGTTAATTTTCCCAAAAGGCCATATGAGAAACTGGGGCTGTTGTGGAAAGGCAAACCAGTAGGGTTTTGAAATTGCCTAGGGCATGCACATATGTAAATTAAAATTCCAAGGTCTGATCTGTAAAGGTAATGATTTCCCCTGCCCAGTCATGTCTGGTTAGGCTTAGGGTTGGTCTTGTCCCATTTCTTAGCCAAGGGAGCCAGTGTTGGCCAAAGACACTTCCATGGTCATGTGGCCAAATGTCTATACGCCGGGGTGCACTGAACTTGTTATCTTCCCACCAAAGTGGTACCTAGTTATCTACTCACATTTGCATGCTTTCGAACAGCTAGGTGGACAGAAGCTGAGGCAAGGATAGGAGTTCACCCCCACCTTGCAGCATTCAAGGTCTCGAACCTGGGCTATTTAGCTTTCCAGCTGACAAGCTCAGAGTCTTTAACCACTGAGCCATCGCATCCCCATCTGATCTATAGGATCATATTTATAACACCTGACTACAAAACAATCTGTGATTTGGATCACATTCAATCACAAGCTTAAATACAGCCATTTTAGATGATGTAATAAAAAAAAATTTCAAAAAAAAAAAGAATGTTCAGGTTTTTAAAAAGTCAAGATGGTGTTGTGGTTCGCTGGCAGCCAGTGCAGACGGCAGTAGAATTGGACAGTGGGGAAGAAAGGGGACCATTCAGGGAGTCTGAAGAGGACTTGGACGAGGGTCCTGCATCCGATGCAGGGATGGGGCCAGGACCATCTGGAAATGGGGTGCTGCCTTCGGAGTCTGGCAGCAGTGAGGCAGAGGAACCAGGGGAGCCTGTTCCCAGTGCGCATCTGCACAGAGCTGCTAGAAGGCGAAAGCAGCTGAAACAGAAGGGGCAACTCGGGAGTAAGGCTGGGAGATGATTGCCCCTCCCATAAGGGATAAAAGTCAGACCTCAATGACGAAAGCTTTGCAGGAAGCAAAGCAGTTCAATTAGATTCCGAGTCCTCCTTGAAGCTCTGTGTACTCTGGTTGTTTTGTTCTGGTACTTCGGTCGGTTTCTGTTATAATTAATTGGGTACTTCTGTTTTTGGCAGCATTCCACAGCACTGAAAGGTGTGTGCTAATCTTGGGGAACTGTTTAAGATTAGTTTTGGCTGGGAACGAAAGCAATTCCCAGTGTCGCAATAAAATAGGTTTTGCTTTTAAAACAAGCTTGTGATTAATTACGTTTGATGAGGCCTGAGTCAGAACAGATAGTGAGGATGAGGATGATTATGTGGAGGAGGAGGAGAAGTAGGATGATTTCATGTTTAATGAAACCAAGGTCAATATAATATTGCTTGGGTGCTGTATCTCCTCTTTGGACTGAATTTTAACTTTCCTTACCTAATATGTTCTAAATCAGGACAAGCAAATCTGAGCTTAGTGACCTAAGATGTTATCTGGTAAAATTTCTGAGCACAACCTGTTGGTTTTATTTCACCGAAAAAAACTGAAACAAATGCAAACACATGTTATTTTATAACTCATCATGGAAGATACTATAGCCAAAAATATAAACCTGGCTCAAAATTTTGCAGGTTGTTGCCGGATTTGAATGCATGCTGAAAAATGGCCTGCATGAGAAAAAAAACAATTTGTACCTGAACATTTGGAAATGTGTGATTCCAACGCGTTATGTTGGCAATGAATAAAAACGTGTTCCATTTTGTATGACTTAAAATAACGTGACAATGACTCATTAGCTTGCTCCTTTTAACCTGTCAATCCTCTCCTGTTCTTTTTTTTTCTTCCTCGCTTTAGTTTTCAAGTTTCTGCATTATTTAACTATTTGAAATAAAGCAGAGTAATGTTTTGAGAATAAAATCCCATTGACCTGCCTCCAAGTCAATCCAACTTAATGACAATTGCAACTTCCCTGATACATTTTTTAACAACCTTAAATAAATGATGGATTCTTTGTTTTAGGATAGGATCACTGGGTTTCTCATTTCTCATGTGGCTACTAAGCTTGTTACTATCTCTCATTATTTTATTAAGAATAGCTGGCTTTTAGGAAACTATAATCCTATATTTAAGAAATTATTTCGTCCGTTCTTAAAGCATGGTGTTATTTTTTTTATTCTTCTTCTACAGTCTTATCACTTTTTGATTCTCAACTATTTTCCTTTTCACTCATATTCACGAGTTCTTGCAGCACTTAGAAGAAAATCTTTTGAAAAGTGCAATTCAAATTTGCCTGACAAAAGAAGCAAATTAGAGATATGTACCATTTCAGACAAGGTGTCATTTTCGTTTAAGTGGTGTAATGCTATTATTGTTCTTACTGCAATTTCCATTTCACAAAGGTGATATAGTATTACTTTCTGGATTACGTTTGTGAGGCTTTCATTGCCTTTCCTATCAAAAAAAGCTTTTTAGAGGGGAAAATGGATAGTTGTATCTTAATCTTCAAATTGAATCTATTCTCCGGGTCCTGGGAAATTGTAAAAGTTCAAGTATTTCTAATATGTTCTACACTTTATGGATCAAGCATCTTGTTCTGTCATTTCTCGCCCCGATTTAGATTTTGAAAACCGATTCCCCATAATAACAATCTTGAAGAAAGAACAGACTTTCAAATCGTAGTTTTATCAAGCAAGTATCCCTGCCTTAAATAGAGTATTTTAGAAGAGATCATGCTTTTTCGCATTGACTCCATTGTATTTCCATAGTGTTTTTTTTCCCCTTGCTACATTCAAAAGAAATAAGGAAGAAAAAGCAGAATAATTATGCAAGTGGTATCGTGATAGCTGGATAGCGCCATGAACCTCCCATTAGGTCATAAACTGCGGCTGAACAGAATGTGCATCAATTTGGATACAGTGCAAAGATTAATCTCTATGGAGCTTCTCAGCCATCCAGGCCATGGTTGTCCCAAAGAGGCTTTTTCAAGAGGCAACTGGACTTTCTTTGTTTTACCTTGAAGACATTTCACTTCTCATCCAGGAAGCTTCTTCAGTTCTGAAGAACTGAAGAAGCTGAAGAAGTGAAGACGCTTCTTGGATGAGAACACTGGGTCAGTCTGCAATAAATGACCTTTGCATTGGCCCAAATGCAAAGATCCATGTCGGTGGACCTTCTCAGCCACCCAGGTCATGGTTATCCCAAAGGTGCATTTTTTTCAAGAGGCAACTGGACTTTCTGTTTTTTTTCTTTGAAGACCTTTCGCTTCTCGTCCAAGAAGCTTCTTCCGCTCTGAAAAAAAAAGCACCTTTGGAACAACGGTGACCTGGATGACAGTGAATCTCCGTTGACATTTAGCTCTACATTTTAGGTATGCAGCAATACACCCAACACCAGCGCCGCTAAAATGGAGGGGGCACCACCACACTGCTTTGGTCCTTCTCCCCTGTGGATAGCGCTGCATTTCAGCACAGCCCAAGGCTAATTGAAACCAAAGCACATCCACAATAATTCCCAGGCTGCAGCAGAGAAGAGTTAAGAGCCATGCAACGCAGTGCTACTAGCCTTTGGAATCCATATAACTGATAAATCAATCCGTAGGATCTGCTAAACCAGGGATCCCCAACCACCCGTTCCATGGACCGGAACTGGGCCGTGGCCTGCCAGCAACCATGCAAACAAGCAAAGCCCCATCAGTGGGATGCAGGCAGCATGTGGAAACCTCCCTCCACGGAACTGGTGCCCCCAAAGTTGCGGGGGGGGGGCACTATGCTAAGTTACTCATGGATTCGATGTGCTTCCATAAGCGAGGAGCGGAGTTAGTTTTTCAGAGCAAGGCCACAGCCCACCGGCCTCTGCATTACCATTATCAGGGTTGGTTAACATCCTACTTGCACTGGAGACGGTCTTCCCAATGTCGGCCAACGATCGGAGGTTGGATTTTTTGGTCTGGTGCCGGTGTTTCCTGAGCAGCGTGTAGATGACTTTGTCCTTCATGTCTTGCTTTAGCAGGCCTGTGTCGATCTGGTTGTCCACGACCATCTCTGCGAGGCGAAAAGAGAGCATCAAACCAGATGAGAAGGGGCAAGAAAAGGGGAAAAGTTGATGGGAGTTGACTGGAATGGTAAAATGGGCCATTTTCTGCACCAACTCAGAAAGCTCAAACTGCCCAAGGAGCGGCTGATCCAGTTCTACAGAGGAATTATGGAGTCTGTCATCTGCACCTCTACAACTGTCTGGTTTGGTTCTGCAACCCAACAGGGCAGACACAGACTTCAGAGGATAATTAGGACTGCAGAAAAAACAATTACTACCAACCTGCCTTCAATCGAGGACCTGTATGCTGCACGAATCAAAAAGAGGGCTGTGAAAATATCTACAGCCCCCTCACATCCCAGACATGAACTGTTTCAACTCCTACCCTCAAAACAAAACAGCACTATAAGGCACTGCACACCAGAACAACTAGACACAAGAACAGTTTTTTCCCAAACTCCATCACTCTTCTAAACAAATAATTCCCTCAACACTGACTACTATTTACAAAATCTGCATTACTATTACTATTAATCTTCCCATCCTTTCTTTCACCCATCTCCTCCCACTTATGACTGTATGACTGTAACTTTGTTGCTTGTATCCTAACAATTTTTATTGACTGTTTTCTAGTATGATTTGATTGCCTATTTGTACCCTATGACTATTATTAAATGTTGTACCTGATGATCCTTGACTCTTGACGAATGTCTCTTTTCTTTTATGTACACTGAGAGCATTTGCACCAAGACAAATTCCTTGTGTGTCCAATCACACTTGGACAATGAAGAATTCTTTTCTGTTCTATTCTATTCTGTTCTATTCTATTCTATTTGATTAAAGAAAAGAACATAAGTACTTTTGTTCCAACCTGGAAACCGCTTCTGAACTTTGTGCTTGCGGTGGAAAAGAATGAAACTCTTAACTTTGGGTTTTACTAATTAGACCAGGGCTGTCAGTCTCAAGGCCTGGGGGCAGAGGTGGGCTGCAACCGGCTTAACAACTGGTTCATCAAAAATTGTGAACAACCGTAGTGATTCACTTAACGACTGTGGCAAGAAAGATCGTAAAGTGGGTCAAAACTCACTGAACAACTGCCTCGCTTAGTGATGGAAATTGTGGGCTCAGTTGTGGTCATAATTTGTACCTGCATTTCCAATCAGAAAGGGTGAGAATGGCTAAGGATAATAACACTGGTTGCAATCTGAGATATATTTAAGAAAACTTATATGGCCACACAACTCACTCTCTGTGACTCTGGGTGGCCTAGAGAAATAAAACCCCAAATATAAAATCCAGCAACCCCCTTCCACTCTCCCCGGGGGGAAACAATCAGATAAGAGATTTGATAGGCTCTATATCACTCTGGGGTTTCCAGGCCCATTGGGAGAACCAAGTCTTCAGGGCCTGATGCTGCAATGTAATAATTAGGCCTCCATGGAACCTGAAAATACTTACTTCATTTCATTAACCTGAAATTATGTTTTTCCTTTGTTCTCTTATAAAGGAACCAGATAAGGTACCTGTCAGGGCTCCCACAAATCCCCCTCATTCAAAGCAAAACTCTCTAGACGCATCTCAGAAAAAGTAAATTCGTTTTATTAGAAATTGCCATGTTGGTGCGTTGTTGGGTGCAGCCAGTACTAAATCACAATGACCAAGAGTCATCCATCATGCTCTCCAATAACCTTCTTATGCTCCGACAACTTTGGGCCGTTGAGTTGATATCTAGGCATTGCAAGAATGCCTTGTTTTTCCCCCCACTCTCTTTTTCTGGCAGCTAAAAAAGACCAAAGGAGTATCTTTTTAGTTGGCAGCACCAATGCCTAAACTTAATGACAACATGCGTGTTACACTAACCGCAAAGTCACTACGTGGGCAGCTGATCAGGCAGACTAGACCATTTCTTCACATATCAAAATTGAGCTGCCACAAAATTGGAATTATCACTACATGTACCACTTTGGTAACTAGCCCAGTCTAGGATGCAATATGATTCTTTTATATTTTATATTTTATATATTAAATTTATATTAAGAAGAGACTGAACAGCCATTTGTTCGGAATTGTATAGGGTCTCTTGCTTGAGCAAGGAAGTGGACTAGAAGACCTCCCAGGTCCCTTCCAACTCTGTTTTTATTTTATTTTTTTCAACACAGACTTCAGAGGATAATAAGGACTGCAGAAAAAACAATTACTACCGATCTGCCTTCCATCGAGGACCTGTATATTGCATGAGTCAAAAAGAGGGCTGTGAAAATATTTACGGACCCCTCACACCCCGGACATAAATTGTTTCAACTCCTTCCCTCAAAACGACGCTATAGAGCCCTGCACACCAGAACAACTAGACACAAGGGGAGTTTTTTCCCGAAAGCCATCACTCTGCTAAACAAATAATTCCCTCCACACTGTCCAACTATTTACAAAGTCTGCACTACTATTAATCTTCTCATCACTCCTTATCACCCATCCCCTCCCACTTGTGATTGTAGGACTGTAACTTGGTTGCTTGTATCCTTACCATCTATATTGACTGTTTCCTAGTATGATTTGATTGTTTATTGTACCCCATGACTATCATTAAGTGTTGTACCTGATGATTCTTGACGAATGTCTCTTTCCTTTTATGTGCACTGAGAGCATTTGCACCAAGACAAATTCCTTGTGTGTCCAATCACACTTGGCCAATAAAGAATTCTATTCTATTCTATTCTATTCTATTCTATTCTATTCCATTCCATTCCATTCCATTCCATTCTACCCTACCCTACCCTACCCTACTCTATTCTAACATCTCACTTCTTGCAAGTGCTCTCAAGAGGCTCAATCGAATCACACTAGGAATTTAATTTGTTCTATTGTAATTTACGTATTTATAGCTTTTGTTGTACAGATGCTCATTATTCCCAGGGCAATTTACAAAAGAAATAAAAAGAACTTACATCAACATACAAAACCAATTGTAATAAACTTTAGGTGATATAATTTCCCCAAACCAGTCATAAACATTTTTTTAAAAAAGCAAATACCAGAATATTGTTTGGACATTTTATTCTATAGTTGCAGCTGGTTGATTCTTTTCTTGCTTCAATATTATAAACTGAAATTTCTAATTTAATATTACAGTTTCTCTTTCCTCAAGGTTATTAATATTGTTAAAATTCCTCAGGGTTATTGAAATGGTTTCGGCATATAGAAACACTTGATTTTACTTTTTTTTTTTAATTAATTCCAACTTTTCCCCTACTTTCCTCTTTTGCTAAAACCTCTAAGTTTTAATCTGACAAGTGGCAGTAAGTACAAATTGATTAGAAACAATTTACACCTTCTTGCCTTTTAAAGAAAGGAATTGCTTGCTTTCTTTACCTGTGGAACTAACTGTAAACAATGGACGTGAAATGTATAACCCTACAAATAATAAGTATGTGAGTTGAAGTCCAATTATCTTTCTTTTTTGAGAGTGAGCTGTTCAAAAAAAAATGGAGAACAAAACATGGCTTTTCTTGAATAGAGTCCAATGGCTTCTTGCATAACTGTCCTGCAAATCCACTGAATCTGGTGGGATTTTAATAAATCGCCCAAAATAGCAAGAGCACTTACACTTATATACTGCTTTATAGTGCTTTGTAGCCCTCTCAAAGCAGTTTATAGAGTCAGCCTATTGCCCCCCAACAATCTGGGTCCTCATTTTACCCACCTCGGAAGGATGGAAGGCTGAGTCAACCTTGAGCCTGGTGGGATTCGATCTGCCAAATTGCAGTAGGAGTAGCTTGTAGTACTGTACTTTAACCACTGCGCCACCGAGGCTCCTTAGAACGCTAGATAGCCTCAAACTCTGGACAGAATTTAGCATCTTGCAGTTCAGATTCCACTTGATGGGCCATCTAAGCCTACTAAACAATGAGGCGAGATTTTAAACCTAGGTTTTCATTTTCAAATTCAACGTCATATTCATAGAATCATAAGACTGGAAGGGATCTTGCAGGTCTTCTACTCTGCCCACCTGTCCAAGGCAGAAGTCTTCATACCATCCCGGACAAATGATTGCCAATCTTTTCTTGAAAACCTCCATTGATGGAGCACCCACAATTCCAGAAGGCAAGACGCTCCATTGATCAATCGTTCTCACTGTTAGGAAATTCCTCCTTTATTTCCAGATTGGATCCCCCTCTGATGAACACCTATCCATTGTTTCTCGACCTGCCTTCAGGTATTATGGAGAATGAATCAACAGCCTCTTCCCTGTGACATCCCTTCAAGTATTAAAACAGACCTTTGAAAACACCTGAAGGCCAGACAAGGAATAATGGATGGAAACTGAACAAGGAGAGAGATTCAACCTGGAAATAAGGAGACACTTTCTGACAGCGAGAACCATCAACCAATGGAACAAAATTGCCTTCAGAAGTTGTGGGAGCGCCATCACTTGAGACCTTCAAGAAGAGATTGGACTGTCATTTGTAAGAAATGGTGTAGGGTCTCCCGCTTGGGCAGGGGGTTGGTTTAGGTGACCTACAAGGCCCCTTCCAACTCTGATTATCTGATATCTGCTTAGAAGAGGGGCCCCCAAACTTAGCGACTTTAAGACTTGTGGACTTAAACTCCCAGAATTCTCCAGCCAGCTATGCTTAGAAGATTCTCAAGAATGAGTATCTCTACACATTCTGATAGAGAGAAGTTCCCTGAGGATGGGCTGCATCATGAATCTGAAAACTCAGAAGATTAAACCTCTACTCCCAATGATCAACCCAGATTAGATTCTGAAGAATCTTTAGAAGACCAACAATTCTTCTAGGTCAAAGATGCTACACACCGAATGGTCCATCTCTGTTAAGACTTACCTACGACTTGAGGGAGTGTTGAGGCCTCCAGATCCAACAGAATAGAGCCTTTCTCTATACATGTTCTCAGTTCAAACAAACTGTGAAGCGACAACGTGGCAACATGGGGTTTACTCCATCTCTCTCCTCCTTGCTCCACTTTCTCCTCAAATTTTATCCACCTGTAACAAGGAAAAGAATTAATGAGGTTGAACTTATCTAAAGGTGGATTTCAGCCTGCTGAAAATCTGGTCAAGTGAGGCTTAGGTTGATAGAACGAAAGCCAACCTCTCAGAGCAAGACTGAAGGCCACTTTCATGCTTTCACTTGCAGTATATTTAATTAATTGTATTTGTATAGCTGCCCATCTCATGAAGTGAATGTAGGCGGTAGTACTAATCAGGGGTGGGATTCAAAAATTTTAACAACCAGTTCTGTGGGCGTGGCTTAGGTGGTAGGCGTGGCTTGGTGGTCATGTGACTGGGCGGACATGGCTTGGTGGTCATGTTATTGGCTGGGCGTGACCAACTCAATATCACTCACATCGAGGCACGCAGCTCCTCGCCTGGCCTCTCATGACTGTGATGATGCTGCAACAGTCGTAAGTGTGAAAACTGGTCATAAGTCACTTTTTTCAGTGCCATTGTAACTTTGAATGGTCACTCCACACAAGCAAAGTACCAGCAAAGGAGGGGGAAAAAACTGCAGAGAAGTTCCTGAGACAGGAAGTCTAGTCCTTCCAAAAATGTAATAAGGGTTAACAGAGAGGCAGTTTCTGTAATCAACACCAGAATGTTTCCTTCCTGCCTTCCTTACAGGATTAGGCCAGTAATGTCTTCTAACAACCGGTTCTCCGAACTGCTTAGAATGTTAACAACCGGTTCTAGCAAATAGGTGAGAACCTGTAGAATCCCACTCCTGGTACTAATGAAAAGTATACAAAAGCCACTGAAACAACCAATATAAATTAAAATAAATACAAGATAAAAGCAAGCAAATAAATTTTCTTAGCATTTGCAAAAAAAAAAAAAGCAATAACTATTTTTTTCTTAGCATTTGTAGTCTGTAGTGGTTTTCAGTCCTCCAGGTCCTGGTTATCCCAAAGGTTCTCTTTTAGGAGGCAACTGGACTTTGTGTTTTTTTTCTCTTTGAAGACGTTTCACTTTTCATCCAAGAAGCTTCTTCAGCTTCTCCATTCCCCACTAATCCTGTCAGAGCTGAAGAAGCTTCTTGGATGAGAAGCGAAACACCTTCGAGGGGAAAAAACAAGAAAGTCCAGTTGCCTCCTGAAAAAAGCACCTTTGGGATTAGCATTTGAAGTCAAAGCGACATAAGAATCTAAGACTCCCACTTAGTTGCAGATTCTGTCCAAGGGCAACTGGTTCATACTTATGACCGTTGCTGTGTCCTCGGGTCATGTGATCCTTTTTTGCGACAAGCAAAATCAATGGGGAAGCCAGATTCACTTAACAACCAGGTGGCTGATTTATCAGCTCCGGTGATTAATTTTAGAACTGTGGTTAAAAAAAAAAAGGTTGTAAAATGGGGAAAGACTTGCTTAACAAATGTCTCACTTAACAACCGAAAATCTGGGCTCAATTGTGGTTATAAATCGAGGACCACCCAGCCTTTCCAAAAAAAAAAAAAAAACACAGCACAGAATTAGAACATCTCAGACTCGCATTTTTGGGCTGATTAACTTCTCTTTAAGTTACAAAACAGTAGCAGAGGGTTAGTTATGGAGTTGTGCAACTCCTTTCTGCAAATCAACACAACTTCATCAACCAAGCTGTGGTACCAGGGGCCAGAACAAAAGAAGTTCTCTTGACTGTCCTTGGTCTTTAAATGGTTTAATCTTCAAGTGACAAAGCTTAACAACTTTTTATTGCTTTGTTGTTGGAACAGCTCTTTGAAGCTACAGGGTCATCTAGTTACCAGCGCACCAGGGAAAGCTGTGTAAACATTCTCCGAAAGAACAAACCCAAAAAATACCAGCGTGGCAGCTAAGGGCTAATAACCGTTGCGCTTGCTAGAATAGAACGAGAGATAAATCACACGTGCACAGCAGTTGGAGAAGTATCTGAGCTAAGAGACTCCATTCCCACATCATGCAAACCATTCACAAATTTAACCATGCTTTGCCGAATAAGTTGAAACTGGCGCGAGCCTACGAATTGTGTTGCCATCCACAGCCACAAAGCAGAGTTTATAAATGATAGTAAGGGGGAAAAAAGCAAAAGGATGTATGAAGCTGGAAAACGAAGTCAGCATAACAGAGTTGGAAGGGACCTTGGAGGTCCTATAGCCCAACCCTCTGCTCAAGCAGGCAACCTGGGCCTATACCATTTCAGACAAGAGGCTGTCCAATCTTTTCTAAAGAGATTCCGGTGTTGGAATACTCACAACTTCATTCTATTGATTAATTGTTCTGACTGTCAGAAATTCCTCCTTAGTTCTAGGTTGCTTCTCTCCTTGATCAGTTTCCACCCGTTGCTTCTTGTCCTGCCTTCAGGTGGTTTGGAGAATAGCTTGACTCCCTCTTCTTTGTGGCAGCCCCCTAGTCCTTCTTTTTTTCATCGGATTAGACATACCCGATCCCTGCAATCGTTCTTCATATGTTTGAGCCTCCAGGCCACCATTTCTAAATGCACTGAGTTATTTTACAATTGAAATGCATTTTGCTCCTGGGTTCTTTAAGCAGGGAGCAAAATTCAGAGAGTTTAGGTAATTTGGTTATTCAGGTCATTTTGCAACACAATGCATCAAGATCAAGTACCTCAAGTAGTCTTAGTTGTGAGCTTCTTAGTAAAGACAATGAGGCTTTTTTGGGGAAAAAAAAATCTAACAGTCAATATAGAAGAAAATGCTGAGAAAAGGAAGGGATGAATTAATGCAAAATATAAGGCAAATGCCCAGATTAATATTTTCCTAGGGGAAAAAATGGGTTCTTCACAGAACCCCAGAATCGAAAAGGGCCAGAATAAATAACTGAATAACAGAGTTGGAAGGGGCCTTGGAGGTCTTCTAGTCCAACCCACTTCTCAAGCAGGAGACCCTATACCATTCCAGACCAGTGGCTGTCCAGTCTCATCTTAAAAGCCTCCAGTGATGGAGCACCCACAACTTCTGGAGGCAAATTGTTCCGCTGGTTTATAGTTCCCACTGACAGAAAATGTCTCCTTAGTTCTAGGTTGCTTCTCTCCTTGATTAGTTTCCATCCATTGTTTCTTGTCCTGCCCTCAGGTGCTTTGGGGAATTATTTGACCCCTTCTTCTTTGTGGCAGCCCCTCAAATACTGGAACACTGCTATCACGTCTCCCCTTGTCCTTTTTTTCACTAGACTAGACACGCCCAATTCTCGCAACCGTTCTTCATGTCAAAGATATTCTTTCAAAAAATGAAAAAAATATATATTCACCCTTACCTGTCACCCCCATAACCAGCACTGGCAGCTTACTAAAGTCACAAGTAGGGTTACAGTGCAATACAAAGCTCTCTTCCAGCACGCAGGGGTGCTACCTGTTGAAATCTCAGCTCAGCAAAGCAACCCAAATTAAAAGTCTGTGGAGATTCTCAGCCATCCAGGTCATGGTTGTCCCAAAGTGCTTTTTCAGGAGGCAACTGGACTTCCTTGTGATTTCTTCCCCACCCTTCTTTTGAAGAGGTTTTGCTTTGCATCCAGGACGTTTCTTCAGTTCTGACAGGATAGCGGATATCCATCAATCCACTATCCTCTCAGAGCTGAAGAAGCTTTTTGGATGAGAAGCGAAACGTCTTCAAAAGAGGGGGGGAAAAAAACCCAATAAAATCGAGCTGTCTCCTGAAAAATGCTCCTGTGTGAACAACCCAAATTAAAGCTATCTCGTTTCTTCCACCTGAACACACAAAGGAAACATGTCCAGGATTCCACTGTCAACGTCTTACTGTTAGGAAGTATCTCTTAACATTGATCTATCAAGGACATTTTCCTATTTTCAATGCACACACACAAAAAAAGCCCATTGATTTCCCACAGCGTGCTTAAATGTGCAGCAATAATTATAAATACATGAATTTCCCAACCGTTACTTGCTTGAGAAAATTGGCCAATGAGATATACTGTTAAATGAGTGTAGACTGGAAATATCTGTGCACCCTGAACGGCGAATGTTATCCATACAGAAAGTCCTTGACGCATGACTATATCTGAGGCCAAAGTTTCTGTTAAGTGAGTTTTGCCCGATTTTATGACGTTTCTTTCCCCCGTTCAGTGAATCACTGAAGTTAAGTCAGTAACACGGTCGTTAAGTGCTTGTCAGAAGGTCACAAAAGAGGATCCCAAGAGCCTGAAGACACTGCAACCGTCGTACATACGAGTCAGTTGCCAAGCGTCTGAATTATGGGGGATGTTGCAATCATTGTAAGGGTGATAAACAGTCATAAGTCACTTTTTTCAGTGCCCTTGTAACTTCGAACAGTCACTAAATAATTTTAAATTGTTTTAATTCGAGACACCACTTGATATTTACTGCAAAAGAGATAAATTCATACTGCTGGTATTTGCTTAGGGAAATAATAATAACGTAGGGAGTTGCCTTAAGGAGCAGAAATATTAGAAACGCACATGGGGAGAAGTTATCTGCCATAACTGAAATCCAATTAAAAAATATATCTTAAGGCAGAAAGTAAGCTAGGAGAGCTTTAAAAAGAAAAAAATCTGAAAGGCTAATATTTAAAAGCATTGATGTCACTGATCCTGGACAATCCTGAGTCAGCGCTTCGATCAGCCCAGTAATTTTCCCCAAAGTGAAAAATATAGAGTCCAGACTTGGCAGAAAGATAAGTTATTATAACGTCATAGTTAAAAGTCTCCGCTAAGCCAAGCAAGGTCCGTGGAATCACTAACCTGATTACATTAATGGCATCTTCATTAACTATTGCTTAACGGGGTCATTGCTCAGGAACTATTTTATCTCTAGGTTTCTCTTCCAAAGAAACCATAAATGGGCTGGAACGGAGAAACCCAGCGCTTGTTTTCGTATTTTGTCTGAATTGAACAACCATCCCTTCAAAAGGGCTTCATTTGAATTAGACCCTGATTGAAGGTCTGGAGACCGACTCACTGAGTATATGGTTACAGGTAGTCCTCGACTTGACACCGTTCATTTAAGCGACTGTTCAAAGTTACATCACTTAAAAAAAAAACAACTTACGCCCGCTTGTCACACTTACGACCATTGCAGCCTCCCTGTGTGGTCACTAACTCAAAATTCAGACAGTGGGCAATTGACTCATGTTTCTGACGGCTGCAGTGTCCCAGGATCATGTGTGTGTGTGTGTGTACCTTTTGTGAAATTCTGACCAGCAAAGTCAATGGGAAAACCAGATCCCGCTTAGCAACCGTGTTAACAACCTAACAATGGCAACAATTCACTTAACTGAAGCAAGAAAGTTTGTGAAACGGGGCAAAATTCACTTCGCCAATGTTTCACTTAGCAATATAAATTCTGGCCTCAGTTGTGGTCGTAAGTGGAGGACTCCCTGTACATCGCAATAAGATGATTCCATTTCATCATTAAGAATATAAATAGTGTCTTCTTGCCTAGACACCGTGGGCCAGGGGTCTCCAACCTTGGCAACTTTAAGATTTGTGGACTTCAACTCCCAGCATTGAAGAGAATTAAATTAAAACGGAGAGATTGCAGAGGAAGGGATCTCAAGAGATTAAGAAGAGCTGGCTGAGGAACTCTGGGAATTGAAGTCTACAAGTCTTAAAGTTGCCAAGGTTGGAGACCTCTGCCGTGGACCATCTAGTTCCAATTCAAATAGTCCTTGAATTAAGACAATTAAGACCAGAATTTCCCTTGCAAAGCAAGATGGTTGTTGAGTGAGTCATGTCCGATTTCACGATCATTTTGATCATGGCTGTTAAGCAAATCATTGCGGTTGTTAAGTGAAACATGTGGTTGTTAAGCAAATCTGGCTTTCCCGTTGACTTTCCCAATTACTGAGGCAGTCAATCCCATAATCATTGGATGCTGCAACTATCATACCTATATAAGTTGGTTGCATGACTGCAGAGACACTGCAATGGTCATAAGGGTGAGGACTGGTTGTACGTCACTTTTTTCAGTGCTATCATAACTTCAAGCAGTCGTTAAATGAATGGTCAGAAATCAAAGACTACCTACAGCCTGTTCTCATAATGGTCAGCCACTTGGACAAGGAAACCCATAAGTGACCCAGCAGCTGGTTTTCAGAAGCATAGGGGCTGACAATAAGTGATCCTCAGAACTTCCATAAATAAACTATTATGTTGTAAAGTATAAAAACCCATGTTTTATAAATGGGTTGTTGTTTTTTCGAGCGGACAAAACATTCTACAAAGACAGAATAGTTTACACATCATGCTATCCCATATAAACATTGCTGAATTCACATGATAGATTGAGTCTTAATATCTATGGAAATTCTCCGTCTTCCAGGTCATGCAAAGGTGTTTTTCTAAAAGGCAACTGGGTTTTTATTTGTTTTTCCTTGAAGATGTTTCGCTTCTCATCCAAGAAGCTTCTTCAGTTCTGACCATCTGAAGTCCAATTGCCTTTTGAACATGCACCTCTGGGATGGCTGAGCCTTAAAGTCAGGATTTTACAAACCCACAAATCCGCATGCAACATGCTCAGCCAAAACTAAACCATCACTTATGGCTTTACTGCATTCTATAAACCAGCTTACATCTGAGTAATCCTTAGCATAACCCAATGAAGTTGGCTAGTTTTATTATTTCCATATTAGAAAAGGGGATTTGAGGAAGAAAAAGAACTTATATGTAATAAGTTACTAGCTGAGCCAAGATTTGATTGACTGCTTAATTCAGCATATACATGTAGCTCCTATCTCCCATCAAATCAGTAAAAAGTGAAACTATTTCAATACTTTTCAACTATTTCAATGGTTGAAAGCCCCAGAAATAGGTAATATGAAATATGACTGTAATGTACTTTTTCCTGGAATACAACTCATTCCAAAAAGCTCTCAAAAGAGGTATTTAAAATACAATGCGAGAACGAAATTCTTGCTGTTCAGAAACACCTTCCTGAACATTGGATTATAATTATTATCCATACAGTGGAACCTCTTATTTTAGGAAATTTTGGGTTCCCCATTCTCCCCCCCCCCAATTAACATGTAGGATTGGTCCAGATTCTTTGGCGTGGGACTTGAACCTTCTTCTCAAGGACAAAAAAGCAACCCCAACCAGCCCATCGAACGGTACTCACCTGGCCGTTTCCTTCCATTCCATCTCTTGCCCATCCACAGGTAGAAGTTCATCCAGTTCTGTGAAGAGCTGTGGTGGTGCCGGGCTGTCATCGTCTTCTCCCAAGATAAAACGGATGCGCTCGGCGGCGGGAGAGACTGCAGAGGTGAAAATACTGCGGTTAACGGACTGTTGAACAACCACAGAAGTCCGGCTTCTCTCTTTCGCCTTCTCTCCATAGCCATTGAGTTGCTTCTGTTGGTGGTCTTTTCCATCTGACATGTTAACTTGGTGGAACACGGGCTTCTCTCCTTTTTTTGGGGTGGTCCTTAAACTTCCTAGGTTACCTACCGTCTCTATTTCTCCCTTCTTGCACTTACTTCTTAAAACTTACAAGCTTGGGGTAAAGTTCAAGAGGACAAGAGATTTCTCTCCCCGCTCATTTAAGATGGGTGTTAGCAACAAAACCCACACGGCTCCTCGTCAAAGGAAAACCAGAACAGAACTTCTGGGCTCAGCACCAATTTGTTCTGTGGTCGATGCCCAGGGAACTTTCACATTCTGGTCAGCTGAGGTCCTTTTCAAGACTTTTTCTTTACAGGCGAAGAACCGGTTCGAGCCAAACTATCTGGGGGGCAGAGGAAGTGGCAACCCACTGCCAACTTCCCCTCCCTTTGTACAAAATGGGAACTTTCATTGGCTTGCGAGGCAGCGCGTTACCCCTCTAAGACTCATTACCAATGTCAAAGGGAATATTTAACAAAATAGACTCTTTCCTACTTTTGCACAGAAGGCTGTGTGTTTTGGTCCATTTAGTTATCCGACGCACCAATAAAGAGAAAAGAAAGAAAAAAGAAAGGGCACAAGGCAATCACAGGGCATCAAACTAGGTTTACATGATGTTTACATAAATAAAGGAAATATTAATCGAGACCTTGTGTTCTCAGATAAGTGGAAATTCATCAACCTCCTTTTAATCTAAAAAAAAAAAGGAGGAAGTAAAATTTGGAGGATAAATCACAAATTGCTCTGTGTATTCTCTGTACGGTCTCAAACAAAGATACGACAGGTATGGTCCAACGTGAAGAATTGTGTAGCACCTCAACCTGAGCTACGTAACATAGGTGTCATCAGACATGGTTTCTTCTCCCTAGATCTAAAACTCTTAATTAAGATTATAACTCTTAATTATAAATCTAAAGTTTGATAAAGAGATCTGCTGTTCTTCCAGGTTTTATTGTCTGTATTTGAAAGGAGGAAATAGAATTCCATCAGAAAACCCAGAACTCACCTAAAACTATTCTGAAGATCTGATCTAAGAGGCATTGCTTTACTTTCTACATCTCATTACCCTCTGGGGGTGAGTAATCTTTGAATAAGAGATGAGCCCTTAGCCTGTAAGAAATGAAGAAATAAGCAATAGGGACAGCAATACTTCTATATTATAATTACATAAACGTATAAATGCAAATTATAAAATATTTGCATGGAAACCAACAGACGATTAGGATCTAATGAGGTTAGAAACTGAGGTTATTAGAAGAGGAAAAACTCTATTGCTAATCATTTTCTTTAGTTACTCCATGTATACATTAATATTACTAATATCTATACTGCCAGTTAATGTATTCCCTTGCTGATTAATCAGCTAAAAAGACTAAAAAAAGCACAGACTATGGCTTAAAAAGAGTTTGACAGATCTTGTGAATTCTTCCAGGAACAATAATTGAAAGACTGTTACAAGTAATATTTTCCACACTATATACTGAAGCATGGGAGGGAGGGAGGGAGGGAGGGAGGGAGGGAAGGAAGGAAGGAAGGAAGGAAGGAAGGAAGGAAGGAAGGAAGGAAGGAATCTACTCCAATCAAAGCTACTCAATAAAACTCGTACAAGAGAGAAAGGCTCCAATTCATCGATTTCGAATTAGTTCATTCAACTAGTCACAGGATGGCACAGTGGTTAGAGTGCAGTACTGCAGGGCTACTTTTGCTGACTGGCAGCTGCCTGCAATTTGGCAGTTCAAATCTCACCAGGCTCAAGGTTGACTCAACCTTCCATCCTTCTGAGGTTGGTAAAAAGAGAACCCAAATTGTTGGGGTCAATAGGCAGATGCTGTTAACCACTTAGAGAGTGCCATAAAGCACTGTAAAGTGATATGTAAATCTAAGTGCTATCGCTGGCTGAGATTTGGCAAATGTTCTACCAACCTTTGCCCTAACTAATCTAGTTTTGGGAGGACTGAACCTGATTCTTTCCTCGATTCCTAGGTCCCAATCCCAGATACTTTTACTTCAAGAAGTGATCCAGTGATTTCTTAGAAATTAATTGATAAGGGAATCTTTTATCAGAGGAAGGAGCTTCCATGGTAGATGCACCACCTCCAGTAACCTGCTCCAAGAAAGAAATCTCTCCTTGAACATAAATTACTAACTTGGAGAAAGCCTCTTAATTCATTGCCAAGTCAATGCTTCAGAAAAAGTAACAGCTAGGACCCACATCCCTTATCCAATTATTTCACAGATTTTGAGATGTCCAAACCCCTATTGAGGATCCTAAAAGAATCCCTGGTCCAATGGATCGCTGACCAAGGTGCTGATTTCAACATCCATTAAATGTTCCACTACCTTGAATGCCTCCCAATCTGCTAATACCTGTAGCCATCTTGGAAAGGATTGGATAGGTGAACAAAAAATACTAAACTCAGTCTAATATATGGCTGACTGTACAAAAAAACACATCAGGTCCTTGGGAGAATCTTGATATTCCCAAACTTCTGGAGCACAACTGGAACATCATACACATTGACAAAATCACTATCAGTCAATTGCAAAAGGCACCTTTACTTGGAACAGCTTAGAACAAGGGTCTTCAAACTTGACATCTTTAAGACTTGTGGACTTCAACTCCCAGAATTCCTCCTCAGTCATGTTAGCTCAGGAATTCTGAGAGTTGACGTCCGTAAGTCTTAAAACTTGCCAAGCTTGAAGTTCCTTGGCTTAGAACCTGTGATATCTTTAATATTATTATTTTAAATCTGCCTATCTTAGATCCATGGGAAGGTTTTGATAGGTGGATAAAAATACCAAATCCAGTCTAAACACCTGGTTGACTGTGCCACTAACCATAATAATATCACTTTATCTGGATTAGCCATCCAGATGTATAGATGGTAATTCTCATTATCTCTCAGCCAACATCTGGTTGGTCAATGGAGGAAAAGCAGTTGAGACTCAGCTGTATAAGTTTCCATACGCACATGTGGTTTACTTATTTAAATATAAGGCCTCGGTAAGGCCACACTTGAAATACTGCATCCAGTTTTGGTAGCCATGATGTGAAAAATATGTGGAGACTCTAGAAAGAGTGCAGAGAAGAGCAACAAAGATGATTAGGGGACTGGAGGATAAAACATACAAAGAACGGTTGCTGGAACTGGGGATGTCTAGTTTGATGAAAAAAAGGACTTAGGGGTGACATGATAGCAGTGTTCCAGTATCTCAGGGGCTGCCCCAAAGAAGAGGGAGTCAAACTATTCTCCAAAGCACCTGAAGGCAAGATAAGAAGCAATGGATGGGAACTAATCAAGGAAAGAAGCAACCTAGAACTACGAAGAAATTTCCTGACAGAACAATTCATCAATGGAACAACTTGCCTCCAGAAATTGTGAATGCTCCAACACTGGAAGTTTTTAAGAAGAGATTGGACAACCATTTGTCTGAAGTGGTGTAGGGTTTCCTGCCTAAACAGGAGGTTGGTCTAGAAGACCTCCAAGGTCCCTTCTAACTCTGTTATTCTATTCTAAATGAATCCACCCATTTCTACAATTAAAGTAGAGTTATACAACTGTACAGTCTTATCTTCTCTTTTCTTTTTTACTTGGCTTGAGTTGCATTTTACTTGGAGTTATGACAAAGTTCCCAATACAGAATTTTCTGGGTCACAAGACCTGATGCACCTCAACCTCCACCACACGTTCATTTTAGTACCACTGGAAATTAATGGGCCGTTCATTAGTTATTTTCAAGCTCTCCTTAGTTTAGAACAACATATTTTCATCTTGGCCTCCAGAGGGAACAGATTGTGCTCAGCAAGTATTACATACAATCAGGGGTCAAGCTAATCACCCTGAAGTAATGAACTTCAGACTTTTCCCTTCCTCCTATTGGACCTACATGGGCAATGGACTAATTTCTTTTGTGTTTTTTTTTTTAAATCCAGGCTTGTAAAGCATCTCACTTCATTTGACACGCTTAATAAGCTGCTGAAAAGGGTACCATTAAGGACTTTTTTTTTAAACAAGTGTTACTTATTGCCCCTTTCATGGTGCCTCAGAGTTGGGGTGACAAACTTAGGATGTAAGTCCTAAAGATGCTTTTTCAAGAGGCAATTGGACTTTCTTTGTTTTTTCTTGAAAATGTTTTTCTCTGAAGACGTTTGAAAACCAAGAAAGTCCAGTTGCCTCTTGAAAAAGTACCTTTTGCACAATCCTGGCCTGGATGACTGAGTATCTCCATAGACACCCAGGATGTAAGCATAATGGATAGCTGGATCCATGATCTGAAGAATGTTCTAATTTATTAAGTTGAAAGTTAAGTTATCCAAGTTAGTTTTACAGTGTTTTAACAGTGATTTTACCTCACAGTTTCGAAGCTAAGTGGGTGTTTACAAAACTGCATTACAATATATTGTGTGCAATACGTTGTAGATTTTTTATTCAGCTGTGATAATCATATATGGCCTTCCATTCCACACATCCCAAATCAAAAGCTTTGAAGAGTCAATCAGTGACTCATTCATGTGAATCAGCTCAAAATGAAATTAATGGCATAGAAGTCACCACCCACTCATTCTCCTTTTGTTTCTTCAACAAGAGGTAAGAAATCTGCATAATAGATTTCTATAGGAGTCCTTTGTAAATGAAAACTATGCACATGTCAACAGGAAAGGTCTACATAGCACTTCTGTAAATCTTTCAGAAATTTAACTATTTCTTCTGGCAGTGTTGGAGGAGTATTGTAGAAGCGTGAACCTCCAAAACATCTGGAGTGCCCCATTAATAAAGAGATATAACCAATGAGAAGTAGAAGGACAATGGGCAAAACAGTATTAGTGACAGGTGTCTAGCTTCTCAGTTAAGAATTAAATTACGTAAGAAAT